TCAAATACCGTTACGTGGTATAGTCAGAATTTTCTCTCCATCTGATTTAATACATTATGGTGTTCAGAAGAAAATGAGATCCATCATTGTTCAGGTGAATAGGTATATGCACAAGTTTGACGAACCCATCCGGTCATCAAGAGCTTCATGTTGTTCGTGAGGTACTATTTGGGGGCACCGAGTATCCCAGCCAGGGTTCTTTAATCCATTACGAGAAATGCCCCTCCAATGAATGAGATGAAACAGAGTCCCACACTCACCGATCAGGTATAAAATCAAACATTTGAATCAGCTATAAACTGACACTATGTAAGACTGGTTGACCAATTTCATCTCATTCTGTATCTGCATGAAGAAACATGGTTCTTTATCACGTGTCTCGTCAATCCAAGAAACAGCTAAATACCCATTTGTGCTTCGAATTTCTATTACTGCGTTGCGTTTATTGATTTTCAGGACGATATTGAAGGATCCGTTGTAAGTGTGGTTTCCTCCAGACCGACATACGTCAGCCAAAACAATGCCGAGGTAAATATAACAAATCTTTCACACATTGTGCCTGGTTCTGAAGAACTGATTTCTCTTTATCCGAGTGAAGGATTAAATCTTACGTGGTTCATGTTCTCTGACTTTTTCTGTTTTTCTGTAATCAAACAATTGTGTTTTACAACATACTTCTCAAAGAAATCCCACAGTCGCATGCAGGTTGTGTAAAGATGCAGAACTATTCAAGTTCGGACTTTTGACTACCCTGAGCCAAGTGCTAAAAGTGACCGAATTTCCATGCCCACGACAAGTCGGTATGATGGATTATGTTGTGACTTATATAAATGCAACCTGGAAAAGACTGATCGGCTATTCATTGAGTGGCGTGAATGTTTTCTACCGGATAGGTTACTTGTTCGACCCTCATATTCACATTGTTGCTGAGGCACAATCTGAGTCATGCCTCCATACACAAGTGCCGTCTGTCCGAATTCGAACCGGCACCGTTTTAAGCATAACACAGCTCTTCCATTTGCCTCTTTCATCGATTGTCCTGTGTTTAGTACAAAGGAATGTACCCGATGAAGCGGATGATGAAGTACAGTGGACCGGAATTTGGTTTCACAATCGGGGGATGCATTGGTGCCATTTTGGCAGCGCTGGTCAATCCGGGATTTGTTCTGCTTTATGCTGAAATATTCAAGGTGAGTAAGAGTTATACATTCCCCTTCCAGCATGACACCAAGGTGTCACCTTTTAATGTTGATCACGTCTACGCCTTTTCCCAATCGAGTTGGTGAGCCCTCTCGAATGCACGTTTCATTTTAACGGCTTGCATTAAATTCGAAATATTGAAGCTTTGTCGATATAATTTGTTTGTTGTTCGAATATTAGTCTAGCTTTACGTTTTACAACTCAACGCTTATTGGTTATGTTGTAATGAATGTTTGCTACACGTATCAATCAGACGTTTCTTCATTTCATTCTTCTCTGATCCAGCTGTTTACAGATCCGACTATGACACCGCAACGACTGTTGGACAGATCGGAGTTCTATGCCGGTATGATGATCATTCTCGCTTTGGGCTTTATGGTCGGGATGTCAATGGAAGTGAGTGTCAAAAACGCTTGCATAAGCACATTGGTGTGGTTAATGGCTGTAGAAAATGAACTGAAACTGAACCGGTGCTCATTGAGGATAATTGTTTATTGATTGGATTAGATTGGACACCACCAATTTGGCATGCATAACACAAAAATGTAATCAGAAGCAAACCATCACAGTTCCTGCCCGCACGAAAGGTAATGAACGTAGCGATTGATAGTTATTCTCTGAGATACAGCAATTTGCCCTCTGTTATCTTGTTGATTTTGGATCGTTGAAATAAATCACCAACTGTTACTTACTACTCACAAGTGAGTAGTATCTCACAATACCACTAATAAATATAGTAGTAGCGTTCAGAAGTACTACTCACATTTTTGAGTGATACGATTGTGTCGCTCATAGGAATGGGATTGGTGGTTTCTCATAACAGTCAAAAATGAAGAAGACATCTTAGAGAGAATAAATGTGTTCAAAGTCGTAACTAAAAAAAATGCACATCTACTCACAGACGGTTCCATCGATTATCCTGTGTGCTTGTCAAAATTGCGATGACCTCTTCCATTTTCTATCTTTTATTCTATGTAATCATATTTATTCCTATCCGATGATGTTCTCTGAATAAATGCATCTCCCCTACCCGGTACTGGGGATTTGTAATTATACCAATAGTATTATTGTATACGACATCGAACCGGGGAGATTTATCTGTTAGAAAAACGACACAGACAGGTGTAAATCCGATTAGACAGAACAAAACATATAACCTTCAACCGTTTCGTTAGTGATTTCCTGGAAGCTTTTCGATCAGTGGTCAACCCGTTCGGCAGTCTCTCCGTCCCATCTCTGATTACTATAGTTAAACTTTGACTGCAGTCCCCAAAAAAGTGCGAACGCACCAACGGCCTCTTCATGTTCGCACCAGAACGTACNGTACTGCACACGAAGATGAGTAATACCTCGAAGGGGTAGTAGAAAAAGTAGTGGCTATGGTATTGACTAATCGGTAGTCTTCAATTGGTGGAAGCTGCTGGCGCTGGTATGATTAGAATCCCACGGTTCCCGGTTTCATCCCTGCTGCGACCACCAAATGTTGACCGGGAAAAATTCGCTACCTTTCGATTGCAAACACCGCATTGAACGAGGGTATTGTATCCTAATTTCAATTGATTGCGATCACCGGGTTGTAGAATGTCATGACCATAAGACTAACATATTTCCTTTTTATCACAGTAAGATTTGCCATACTAAAAAGTAGTACGAATAATAACAGTACTATTGTTAATCTTTTACATCATGAGTTAGAATCCACGCAAACCCCAAACGCATTCATGTTGAAGCATAAACGAATGAGCGTAAGTAAACAATAGGTAAATCAGAAACATTTCACTCCACCACGTCTGTGTGATAATCGGAATATTGGAATACGAGAACCCGTACTGCAATACTTAGAACTGGATTGGCTCCAACCCGAACTGTGGACACCAATGAAATACACGGAGAATCGGGAGCAACAAGTGCCCACTTTTAATGACAGAAATAGAGCATGTTTTATAGAAAGTAATAAGCTGTATCATTGGTTAAAGGACCGTCGTCCAATCACGTAACCGTTTGCCCAGTCGCATCGCATGTAAGAACTCTGATGTATTGTTCTCCCAGTGTACCATTGGTCCAGCTTCCTGAACTTTGATTGGATGACATGAAGCTGTACCTGATCGAACTTAAAATGTGCTGACGTATATATGGATCACCACAACTCCCTTTCCTCAAGAGTGCCTCGCCAATCCGGCTCGCATGACTGCTAGACCTGCGGAATGCAATCTTAGGATCCGCCTGTTAACGGTGGTGTTCTTGCGTTTCGATTTATCGTGACTGCCCGTCTCACGGATGCGGCTCCGTCGGGTGCTCTGACGGAGTTCGCACCTGGTTGTCTCCCTCGTTTGTCTCCTGATACCGCTGGTCCGTGGATGATTTT